AATAATAATAATAATAATAGCGTAACAACTAATCGTAAAAGCGAGCCCAAAACGGCACCGTACTTTTTAAAGCTCGTCGAGAAATAAAAAACCAGACCCTTTTTTTTTATGCTTGAATTTTCAACGAAAGAAAACGCGCCTGTCCTCATACCCCTTTCTTCTCTTCATCTTTCTTTTATTTTTCTATTATTTTTCTGACATAAATTACGTGGCTAGTTAAAAAAAAAAAAAAAAAACAAAAAAAACAAATAAAATAAAATAAGAAAATATAGTTGATCGTTGACGACACGAGCGTAGATAAAAAATAGACAAAAAAAATTAAGTTCTAATTCGTAGAAAAAATTTTACGAGAATACGAACGAGGGAATAAATATGGCGATAACTATAAATGCAAATATGGCGGACACGATATGTTCTAAAGAATATTCGTTGGATAAAAAATAAATGAAACGATTTAGTCGATACGAAGAAAAAGCGAGATCTTCCGAAACAAAAGTTGAGCCCGTTTTCGTTTTAACATTCCTCGAGAGTGTTCGATATTTTCGATACGACAACGAAACGAGGATTGGAACGATTTTAGCCCAAAAGAAAACACATAGAAAAGGGTCGGTTTTTTTTATGTAATCCTTTTATAATCGATACCTAAAAAAAAAAAAAGAAAAAAAAAAATAGTTAAACTCTCTCGACGCGGACGAGCGTCTCGGAAGATGACGAGTTTTTAATGTCATTCATATTATTTTTGTTTAATTAATTCTTTTTATTTAATGATTCTTATTTCCTTCATTTATTTCGTTTTTTTTTCTTCTTTTTTTTTTCCTTCTCTTTTCTTTTTGGTTGTAAATCGAGCACGATTTTTCTTGGATTATTTATTTATTCATTTATTTATTTATTTTCTTTCTTTCTTTCTTTCTTTCTTCATTTCTGTCTTCTTTTCTTGCGATATCCTCTATGATAATAAAGGGAGGACTAGGAGTGGACGGGGATTGGGTGGTTGGGTAAGTGGTGTTTGGGGGGAGGATCGACATCTAATTTTTTTCATTGATTAATTCCGATACGTATACGCCGTTATATATATATATATATAATATTATGTATATGCAAATACACAGTACTTTGAATTGTATATCGTTACTTGTATTATATTTTTTTTCCCTTTTCATTTTCTTTCCCCTTTCAATGGTTTCATTATACTTTTTTTTGTTCCATTATTTTATTTATTTATAGAGCTTCTTCGTCGTCGTCATTTTTAAATAAACCACCGATAAACGCTCGAGTACTCGATCGATTGCAGATTTTATTTTTATCATTTTTATTCTTAAACCCATCCCCCCCCAATTGATATACTAATCGTTAGTCTTTTTTTTTAATTCTTTCTTCTAATCGAGCTCGGGTGTCTTCTGTGTTTTTACTTTTACGTGTACGCATGTGTGAGTGTGTGTGTGTGTGTGTGTGTGTGTAGTAATCGCACGTGTTTCTCTCTTTCTCTCTCTTTCTTTCTTTTCTTACAAAGTAGCTCGTTCTCTCTCTTCATCTACGATTTTTTTAAAAACTCTTCGACTACTTACGAGTATCATTTTCTAAATTTCTAAACGTGACTACGATCAAGGATGAAATATCAAAGTTTTATCGCACCCGCTTTTAGCGTAATTTTTTTTTTTTTTTTTTTTCTAAGTAGAAAAGACTTTTCCGTCGTAAATTTTGTGAAAAAAAAAAAAAAAAAAGAAAAAAGACAAATAATAAATAACAATAAGTTATTCCTTTTTTTGGCTTCGTCAAGATAGAACGCAAAATAAAACTTCATTTTTTCACCCTAAATCATCGTTCATCGTGTGTAATTAAATCGCTTAGCGATTAATCTTCTACTAATACGATTTTCAAAAATTTCAACCGATCACATCGGCCGAATTGTATCATCGTCATCAACGTACTTTTGTCGAGATTCTCACAACGTATTATTTATCTACAAAGTTGTATAAGAAAAATTTTCACGATTAATCTCGATCGTCGATCATCCAAGGATTATTTATCTATTCAAAATTTATTTCATTTTGTTTAATTAAGATTTATATTTGAAATCCTTCGATCGTTCGTCAATCGTTACCAAATCGTTTAGGAGGGGAGAGTATAGTACGTATTCGTATGTATAATAAATGTGCGTCGTAGAAAGTTTGAAAAATACGCGCGCACAAAATTGAAAAAGTCGAAATATTGAGAAAAAAAACAAAAAGAGAAAATGAAAAGATAATAGGTATAAGAAAAAGAAAAGAGAAAATGAAAAGATCGAAGAGAAAGAAGGAGCCACCGGTAAAAATCGATTCTTCAATTCTGCGTCTCGTATTCTTTTCACCTTTCTTTCTTTCTTTCATTCGTTTCTTTTCTTTAATCCTAATTATAATGTACATGAGAGAGATTTTTTTTTTCTTCTTATTTTTTGTATATATATGTATACGTATATATATATATATATATTATATATATCTTATATATATACATATAAATGATAATATGTATATATATATATATATATCATATATAGATCATAACCGCGACTTCGTAAAGGAAATACAACGGGAGATAAATGAAAAACGTGACATCGTTGTTCGCAATTGCTTGAGTAAGGATATGGATAGCACAGCGTGGCCTTGGTTTCTTTTCTTTTCTTTTCTTTTTTTTGTTTTTTTCGTTCTTTTTATCTTCCTCCCAACTTTCCCACGCATTTCGCTTTCTCTCTCTCTCTCTCTCTCTTTCTAAGTTTCTTCTTCGTTTCACTTAATCTTCTTCTTCGGCTTCATCTTCTTCATCTTCATCTCGTTCGGTTATCTTCATCTCTCTTTCTTACGTCTCGAAGTGTAGCCACATTTGAGATAATGCAACTAGGATATGATGATTCGAGGGGTTTCGTAGGAAGAGCTGAGCGAATGACCCTCCGAAGGACCCTCCTTCGTCCTTTTGAGCTTTCTTCTTATTTCCTTCCATCTTGGTCGTCGTAGAAACGTACTGTCGGATTTTTCGAACGATTCGAAAAACTTGTCGCTCTTTATTACATTTTCCCCTTCTTCTTCTTCTTCATCTAATTCTTGTTGTTGATCATTTTCTTCAGCTTCTTTTCCATCTCCTCCTATTATTACCCTTTTCTTCCACCTCCTTCGAAAACTCGTTCGTCCTCGAACTCGAACGAGACAGCCTGACACGGTACCGTCCTCCTATCGGGCTCGAGTCGAACGATACTACGCCTCAATCTGATCCTCCGGGCTCATTATGTCGGGTGCCATCGAAAGGTCCTCTGCAATATCCTCGTCCTGTCCCGAATCGTGCTCGTGACTTTCTGGATACTCTCTCTCGTCCACCTGATCATCTTCTGCCTCTTGTTCCGTTTGCGCATCCATCAACTCACGTTTTATTAATCTCGTTAGCTTACCACCCTCCGGGCTCTGACCTTCCTGCTTTATATGCACTCCTGGTTCATCCAGTGGTGACCTATTTTTTTTTTTTTTTTAATCAAATACAACATCGTTATTTTAATTAAATCATTTTGATATATTTATGATAGGTTTAGGTGATAAAGGAAAATATGTGGACTCAATTTTAAGAATCAATTGTTTCTGTTTTATTTTTTCTTTTTTTTTTTTTTTTATTAACTACGATTCAATTAATTGAGTAATTTAATAGTTTTTGTTTAAAATGAAAAAAAGAAATGAAGATCATCGGTTACATTATATTTAAATATATAACTT